GCAAAATTACGGTTCAACAGTCATTGCAAAACTTTTGTGTTCATACCCATAAAATATCATAAGTTATTATTCCCCCTGCTTACAAAGGTTGTTGACAAGCTATGGTAGAAAGTATTTGTGAGATTGCTGATAATGTTAATTTCTTTTTAATTTGCAACCGAAATTTTGGCTAGTTTATTGTTTTAATAAGCTGTATTAGCTTTGGGATAATGACCACAATGATACAGATTAATAACAATTTTAAGGATATATACATATACCTTTATTTTGTATACCAAAGTACCAATGTTGATTTGTTCGTGTATGTTCAAAGTTTACTGTGATATCGAATGGTTTGCAAATACATTTATTTTTTCTCAATAATTATCCCGGAAGACTACCCTTTCCTCATGTAACATTGACCATTTCAACAAACTTACTCAGAAAAATAATTTGCCTCATTGTGTAGTTGTACCCATAACGAATTGCATACAACAAAGAAATAATTTCTCTATCACTTAGTTGTTTTGAGGATTATCCACGTTTCTATGAACAATGTGTTCATCACTAGTAAACTGATTTCTTAAATAAAACACTCTTCGGTGGAAATATTATTATTATTTATCTCCATTTCCAAAAGAAGATTTTAAGATCCAGGATACGTCTATAACTTTTTTAAAGTAGGTACTAATAACTCAAATATCTGTTAAACCTAACACTGTAAGGCTGGGAACTTTTTTTTGTAAATGCACACCAATTGAGACTCTTAGGTTTTAGAACTACTTATAAACTAAAAACTCAAAATGGAGGTGAAATATTCGAAATACTAATAATCAAATCACTTTTTAAACCTAACACTTTAAGGTAGAACACATTTTCATAAATATATACAAAATGGAAGCTTAGACTCTAAAAGACGTCTTAAAGTTTAAAACTTTAAACGGTGGGAGGAACATTTGAAGCGGAAGGTGGACTTGAGGTAATCAGTCCAACTTGGTAGTACAGTCGAGTAAAGTTGTAACACTTCTGTGATAGGCTGCGGCAGTGACTGCGAGAGTCCGTCAACTGAATAATAATCACAGGATCATTGCTGCAGTGGTGGTTGCCTCAAACAAATCCTTGAATTTACCGTTAATTCAAAACGAGTTCTGGAATCAAATTTGTATAAATTGAACCGGTCAAAAGAAACCTAGGTTAATGAATAGCCAATGGATTATTTGTAAGCTTTATATATAGTTTGGTTTATCTGTATGAGAAAGAGTTTAGGATCATCTATCTTTCAAGTTTTATAATTGTAGGTTATTTTCTTAATAACCAAATAAAAATAATCAAATTAAAAGGAACAAAAACACAACACCTAGTGTGAATAATTAATTTTCCAATTATTTTTCTTTCACGAAATTACATTAGCTTGGTCCAGTGACAATATTATGTTATTACTCTTTGTTAATGGTATATAGGAGGCAGTAAAATAACGCAATCAACAAATTAGCTGATATAACTAAACTGATTGTATTCCCTGATTGTAGATTAATTATTGAAATAAGAAGTAATTGGTTATAGCAAAAACATAGGCTAGAAATAGGACTTATATTTGACAATATTCCAAAAATAAAGATCATATGACCTTAACATTTTTGTTTCGTGAAAAGTATTAAATTTAGGATCAGCTTTTACCATATTTAAGGAAGTGTATTTGTAAAGTCAACAATGAAATAGATGATGAAAAAAGTTTAAGGTCAGAGATCCATTACTAGGTCGTGTGGCCATTTTATCCATTATTGGTTAGAACTCCAAATGTTGTGTGATTAGCTGAATATAATTGTAATATTTATTTGAATTTAGAGATTGCAGCAGTCAACATAATGTCACTTTATAGTCACAACGTAATCATTACCTTTCAAAAGTCACTTAACAATATTGAAGGAGATAATGCATGTTAATACTCTTGACACAGTCAACTTGTAGACACTGAGCATTTCTATTTTATTGAGTTATAACTGTAATCTGTTCACCATTGAAATTAATTCAAACTTGTATCGACGTCCAGTGGTAATACTATTGACTATATGTGCACTTAGGTTTGCTACTACAAGGTGCCTACAAATATTTCATACTAACTTAAGAATCATTAAAGTGTTAAACATTTATATTCTATGAATAAATATAAACAACCAAATCTGTATTTACGGATAAACTATGATTGTGCACAGTTATTCTTAATCTACTATTAATTAATAATAGTAGAACTTTATAATAAAATACTCTATCGAACTAATACTATATTTTAACAGAATTTGCTACTGAAAATCAATTGTTAGACAAAGTGTTCAACATTTCTAGTGATATTTTTTAGTAATACCTAGTAGGAAACAGCATTTACAAAATGTTCATATTGAAAAAATAAATACTGTACTGTTACATCCACAATCAAATCAAGAGACATTATGGCAAAGTCTAACCAAATTAACATTATTCAAGTCAACAGTTCACTTCTAGCTGTTAGCTGACCATACAGCTTGGCAATAAGCGATACTATACACAAACTAATAATTATATTTCAAAATCCTGTTATTTTTGTTGTTGCTGTATTTGTATGTCTATAGCCTTTTCCATTGTCTATACAATGGATTTTGTGATCATACATTAAATGTGTCTATGTTTGTTTATAAATTCCCCACACTGGAAATACACTACTACAGTGTAAGTCTCATAGCAAAATCCAGACTCGGGACGGTTTTTTTTCGTTTTATTTCCTCAGAAGCCAAAACACCATCCGTTAAAATTCGTATGATGATATGTCATGTCAATGATATGTCATTAGTGCTATAAATAATACAATTGACTATAATAGTGATAGGTTATACCATGTACAGGTTACTTGAAATTGATGTCAAAGTATATGTCAAATATAAGTTTCACCATTTGGTTAAACTGTCCACTTATGAATAAATACGTTAAAATTCCATTTTAATCACAAATAAAGTAAATCACCTCATTGCATTTTAGTTTGTTTTTGCCTTGGTATTTGAATACTGTTCCTAATCACTAAATGAAATTAGCTAATTAAACATTCTCATTACAAAATGACCGATATGAAATAGGTCAATAGGATTCAATTGTGCTTATATACATAACTGTTACATCGTTATATACATAATCTTTCCGTTGCCAAACTGGAAGATTATTGAATATGGGAAAATATTTCGTAATTTCATTCAGAAGTAACCTGTTAATGATAGAAAAGATCATGCAATACTGTCATTACCTTATGAAATAGATAAGGACGACTAGCAAATTAAAAAAAAAAATAGATAAAACCCCAGGACACTCGGGGCAAAGCCCTAAAGTAAGTAACCTTCATGGTTACAAATCGTTGCTATGCTAAATCATTATCTTTCTAATGACACCTTAAACTTAAAACCGGTTAGGTAAGACGGATGAAAACGGGAGGTAACAGAGAAACCCTTATTGTATCAAGTATAGGGAAAAGGATAAGTAAAACTAAAACAGTAATTTAATAGAACATGGATATACATTATTGAAATCCAAAAACTAAACAAATACAAATTAGGTACTTTTAAGAAATACAGCAACGTAAATATTTTTGTAGGTCTAAGAGAACGTGTTTTACTGTATTGGGTTGCGGATGCTACACTTCTAACTATGTAAGGGGTCACGTTCCAAGTATATTGTGACAGTCCAGTTATCAGTAGTGGCAAAACGTGGTACCTTCGACTACTGATTATAACTAGACGTGTCATTCCCAAGTTGAATTAGTCGATAAATATTAAAATCAAAATGGTCGTAGTTGAATTAAAAAACTACCGACAGAGTATGCCGACGAATTTTTCCAATCTGTGTCAGGTATACCTAATTTTTTAAGGAAAGTAAATAAAAGAAACGTCTTATAACACTTAAAACATATATTTACGCCTATACTGTTACTCGTCACGAATCTTCGCCTATTGGGTCTGATGATGATTGGAGTGTCCAATCGAAATCGATCACCACTTACCATCTGTTTTGTATATTTACCGTCTTGTGAGTAACAGTATAGGCGTAAATATATGTTTTAAGTGTTATAAGACGTTTCTTTTATTTACTTTCCGTAAATTTAATAACACGTACAATGCTGATCAAGAAGTTATTTACCTAATTTTTTACCCAGCCATAGTGATAGGACTAGTAAGCCTATTGTACTACACCCCTAAGCTTATTTTAAGCTGTAGTATATTTTTAGTCACATCGCTTACCACAGTAACAACAGCTAAGGGAGCAAATCAAATTTTAGACAATATTGAGTTCTGTGTGGGGTTCTTTCAAGGATGTTCATATTGAATATAAAATAGGCATACAGGTGGTTCGTACAACAGCGCTGTGTATTTCAGTACAAGTCCAACTGTGTTACAAAATCGGTCCACAGTATATCCATTTGTTGCGCATTTATAATAAACATTCACATTACAAATCTACGTAAGTGTGTGTTGTCAGTGAGGGCCGTGTTTGAAATGTTAGGAAGGATAAACATTTAATTTTGTTGATCCCGGTTTGTAATATTCATCTGTCCTTTGTAAATCAATGTATAAAAATGTAGTTTGACATATTTTAATAAAGTTACCATTCCGTACCGATTTTTTGCCATAAGTGGTCAATTTTGTTTCATTCAACTAAATAATTAGCTAAACACGAAGTTTTTTAGAGTATCGCACCATGACCATCCTAATGAGCAAAACATATGCCGCAATAAGTAGTAGGAGTAAGAATTTATAACCTTTTTGAAAATATTCATTACAACCAAAATTAATTATAGGAAAACATCTTACAGTTTGTTAGCTTTTGAGTGATATTCATGTGTTAACACAATAGTGTTTTTAATCCAATGTTTAGTAGGCTACGACTATAATATTTTTATTTTATTATTCCAATACATCTACTGTATACTTAGTTTTCTAATGGATATCCTAACTTACATATTGTGATTTTTATATATTAGTCTAAAAGATCATGTTTTGTTTCAGGAACGCCGCCAGACAGAAATATGGGTAAGTAAAAGTAAATATAATTTTACAATTAATAATGAAGAAATTTTAATGAATTTACAAAGCAAAGTTTTTAAAGAGATTGGTGTTTTCTTTCTTGTGATTATGTGAATGTCTTGATTGTCTTATGATCGCCTGCTTTATGCATATTACTCCTATAAAAGTATTATTAAGTTATTGCTTGTTATCGAGCATCTCTCAATTCAAACGGTTACTAAGTATGATCAAGCATGTTTAAATGCAGAAGAGTATGAATATCTTAATACAATCATAAACCACAATGTGTATTAAACTCACTTTCATCGTCTGCTTAAAGAATAGCCTGTATAGTAAGCCTGTATACCATTTATGCGTAAATGTAAAATTCCAGATTGCAGTGCCAAAAAATTTGGATAGTCAGCTTTTGAAAACTGAAATAGTGATCTACCTTTTCCTTCTAGGTATTTCTTCTAAGCCAAATATTATTCTAAGGTTGAACGTTTTACAGGAAATACTAATCTACCTTTGGTTAGTTGAAACACATCCTTCTCCCTGTTCCAGGCTACATGCAGGAGTTCATACCCGAGGAGCGGTGCAGGGAGGTGCTCGGTCATGACGGAGGAATTCCTATCTTCCGTATGAGGAGTGTGGAAGAGACCGAGGCTGCTCACGACCTCCTGGAGCTGTCAAGATCACTGCCTCCCCTGCCTGCACCCGGCGTGGTCACCGTGCCGTCAGAGCCTGTACCCGTCACCGTCACCGTCCAGGAGCCAGTCCCAGTCTACCACATATACGAGCCTCACTACCCCGCCCCTCCACCACAGCCTCCCCTCACCCCTCCTACCTCAGAGTACTCCTCCGACGCCGAGAACAACAACCCTAACCCTCAGGCCACCGAGAACTCTCAAACCGCCAACTCGGCCGTCATTTACACCTACGACGCCTTACTGGTGTCGGACGGGAGATCCAAGAACAAAAACACCAAAAAATGTGCTCCATTAAGTCCGTCCTCGTCCGAAGACAGCGTTTCTACCGAGGTAGAAGAAGTGAAGACGGGTAGGTACACCTGCAGCGAGTGCGGCAAACAGTACGCCACATCGTCCAACCTGTCGAGGCACAAACAGACACACCGGAGTCTCGACTCTCAGGCGGCCAAGAAGTGCATGACCTGCGGCAAGGCGTACGTGAGCATGCCGGCCCTCGCCATGCACCTGCTGACCCACAAGCTGACCCACGGCTGCGGCATCTGCGGCAAACTCTTCTCCAGACCGTGGCTGCTGCAGGGACATCTCCGGTCACACACGGGGGAGAAGCCGTACGGGTGCGCTCACTGCGGGAAGAGCTTCGCCGACAGATCCAACCTGCGCGCTCACATGCAGACGCACTCACTCGACAAGAACTTCGAGTGTACCAGGTGTCACAAGTCCTTCGCTCTCAAGTCCTACCTCAACAAGCATCTGGAGTCCGCGTGTCTCAAGGACGACGACGGACCCTCTCAAGGACACTTCATAGACGTTGAGTAGCATCAAAGGACCTTTTCAGTGATTCAGTTCGCCGGTGTTCTTCCCGATAAAGTTAAGGCGGACAGCGAATCACTCGAAAAGAACGTCTCCTCGACATAAACATTTGCAATTCCTCGAACGACTTTAAAAGAACTTTCTCGAAAAGATTAGTTTCTTACACGGTGCTACGGTTAACTCCAGTGTAACAGTCCAAGGTTATTAAATATTTAGTAATTCCTAATGCATGTGATATGATCGGAGTTATTAACATATTACTCTATACAGATATACTCTAGAGCTACGTGTATATATTTTTTTAGTACCAGTAAACGTAATTGATTTTGAACCTGAAAAGAAAAGAATCGCGATTGTATTTGAATTTATTATGAAACGTGTTGAATAACAAAATACTCATTATATTTTGCACTGTTAAAATACGAACGTACACATATCAAAAAGAAAATGAGACGAAATAAAGCCCAGTAACAATTTCTTTGCCGTTTTGTGTAATTTACAAGTACTCGACGTCGTATTTTGTGGAAAACGTCATTTACATTAAAAAGCTCAAACTACATTGTGAAGATAGTGATTCTCGGTTATAGGGGCCTTATTTCTAAATCCTGCAAACCTCTCATCTTTCTTCAAGAAATAAAACGATATCACTCAAGCTCCACCTGTCCTGTTCGAGTATCATTTCATTGTGTCAATTTGTTGTCAAAGAGTATTTTCACTTACTATTGTGATGATCTATACTACGATCGTGTGCTTTTAACATGTTGAAGATTCTCATTGTTGACGTGGCTCGAGCTTGCGTTGAACCAATTAATTATATAAAGTTAACGATGGTGTAGAATGTATCATCTATTCAAGAAGCTTTATAGGTATCTTACCGTAGAAGTACATAGTTGATATTCGAATTTGTTCTGACAACGATATTAGTAGAGATTTTAGACGACCCGTTAGTAGATTCAACTAGATTTTTACATGTCGATGAAAGTTTTGATATTTTTCAAGTCATGACGTAATTACTTAGCCTATTTACCTGCTCAAAATATCGTTTATCACCAAGATATAATACCTTATAGAGTATATGCATTCGGTATGTAATATTTGATAGACTGTATTACTAGTGTAGGTATTTTTGGATAACACAGACGATGTAAAGTGATGATAGAGTAGATCCTGTACTTAAAACTTTGTGTTTTGTATATATCTAGCGTTCATTCCTCTCATAGCGATTATAAGATAATTATCTTTTTGAAACCGCTTTTATTGAATAAAATATTTTGTGATAAATGAGCGACTTTATGAAATAGACTCTCATTGAAATAAATGATAATATTTAAGGACTATTATTGTTTACGAATTTATTTGCTAATGTTTATTAGCGCTTTGCTTGGAGCAACGACATTATTTCATTGATAGTTTCATATTGGCTGTCATACGTGTAGAAGTGTTTATATCTGAATGTGGGAGAGTCGACAAAGTCTCGTTTTGGTTTCCAAAACTCTTTTCATTTCTTTATGTTCATATTATATATACATTGATGCAAGTACTTGTGTATGGACGCATTTGATTTATTTTTAGCCTGTTCAGTTACCATTTATTTACATTATTACTTGTCCTATTCGTCGACTCTTCTAGTAGACCGATCCGGAGGTATTTGAGCAATAAGGTAGTGGTAGTAAACGTTTGCTCAGATCCCGTAAGCTAGACAATATAGTGCGACTCCATTTACAATTAGATACATTCAAATGTGCGCCATTTTACTTTTAGACCATTGCTACTCTTCTGAGTTCAAACGCTTGCCTACGCTGCTTGAAAATATTTGAAAGGTTTTTTTTGACAACTTGTTATCTATGAGAACACCTCCATGTTTAAGATTTTGAAAAGCATTACCTACGTAAACGTAAATTATTTTTTATTTTTGCCTGGTTGCCAATAATATTTTTACTAATTGTGATTTCATGTATATTTTAACAAGTAACTCATCAGTATGGTTTTGAAATTCAATTTTTGATTTATATTGTATAATTGGTTAGATCTTATGTAAAAGTAATAGTTTTGTATAATTTACCATTTCGAATGATTAAACTTTGTAAAACGTTGTAATAGTACATTTTTAAACTTAAGATTTTTCCAGATATTTTGTAACTTTATAGAATATAGAGTAGATTCGCATGGTTAGAAACAAAAGAATTTACCAGCTCTGTAAACACCAATGGAAATTATTTTTAATTCATACATTATATATACTCAGAGGTTACGACACAATGTTGTTATAGCGACTTGTGAGAAAGGTAAAATAATGGCAATAAAATAGCAATATTATGTATTTACAATCTTATTTAACTTCCCATAATCCTTGGTATTTGTGATAAAGGCATGTGAAGCATGAAGTTTTTACTACAATATAGTTCAGAATACTTTACGTGTGGTTAGGTAAGTCTGACAAGACCTTAGTACATAAGGAAATTGACATAAAATATTGTGTGTACCAAAGAACAATTTTAAGTATTTTAAAAACTGTTTCAGTTTTTAATTGCTCATTAAAAAACATTAACACAATCATTAATTCTAAAGGAAACTGAATTAAGTGCATTTACTGCTACATCACTTGCATGATGTCTTTCTTTATAGACTCACTCTTACTTTGGTAGACTTGCTCTTACTTTACTCTCACTCTCACTTTTTCTTACTTTACTTTTACTCTTACTTTTTTTACTTTGGCACTCTTAACATTTGTTAAGTTTTCAGACTAGAACAACTATTAAGTTAACTTAGAGACTTAACCACATAGTAAGTTAAGACTACTAAATATTAGTTATTAATATCAATATTTATGATATCGAAATCATCAATTTGCATCTTAAAAATCATGATTACTAGATTTTTTTCAACCATCAACTTTTCAATTGAGCGAGGGAAAATATATTCCTAACAAACTTGATCATTTTGCAAGTTTTACTGTGCAATTTCCAAAATGATGAGATTATTTGAATCCTGAAAAGTACTGTACTAGATAAGTGTTACAGTAATATTGAAATAAACACAGTGACGTCGTTTTAACTAATGCTGTTTACAATCTACTTTTCAATTACAGGAGTACTACTGAAATATATCAATACGATGGGACCAGTGCTTGATTTGGGCAATTTATTAGGGAGCTTGTTTTCGAGGCGAAACGAACTAAGTTATTATTCTTGGTGAATAAAACTAATAATTTACGATGGGAACAATAAAATAAAGAGTGATTCACCTACCTCTATCAGGTTACAATTAAAATTCCAAGTAGCCTATCCAAAATCTTGTTTATAATCTAACTGTGGTAAAGCATTCAACTGAAGAGTTAGTTAATGAGTTTACAATTATTATTAAAACATGTTAAGAAGAAAGTTACTCAGCATATCTGGATTTTTGTAAGCAAACTCTAGAAACAAATCAAAGGAGGGGGCGAAGCCCTAAAGGAAATAACCTTCTTAGTTACCATTGGGCGCACATGAAAAGAGCCCAAAAACTCAGGCAGACGCTTGAAAAGCGCCCGGACCTCCGAGGTCCCTCCCAGGACGGTGCGAAAAGAGCCCGAGCTCTTCCTAGAACTTTCACAACGAGTCTTCTAAGGAGAAAGAACCAATAACACAGTTGAAACATGAGTTTCTTTACAATATTAAAAGATACACTGTTAAAAGATAAGTACATTATTAAAATATGGATTATTTAAAGATATTTACATTACTAAAAGATATAGTATGTTTACCTAACCTAACCTAACCCAACCAAACACAGCACTATTTCAGAACAGGAGTCGGCGTCCTCCTCCTCAGGTACCTGTGGAGACCCGGGCTCTTTCCATACTTAAGATTAGTGAACCTTTTTGGGGATTAAATTTTCGGGCACTTTGCATGTGCTCCGTTACCGTTGAACCGTCTGCTATAAGCTTTAAAATTACGCCTCAATCGTTACAGCTGTTTAGGTAAAATGGGTGAAAATGGGATGTTATAGAGAAGTTCCTTGTTGTGTTAAGTATACACACAAATGTTTTATTATTGACAATGTTTTCAAATTCGACACGTTAATTGGCATTTGACGTTTATTTAATTTAAATAACAAAATTGATCGGTAAAATTTATTTACTACTTGAATTAGCATAACCAACATGAAGATGAAAAATCAAATAAATAATTTTTTAAACTACAAACCCCCTGAACCTTGTTTTCTTTACCGGCACCGCCTAAATACATCTGCTATTTTCACCCACCTGTTGTTAGCTGTAACGAGAATGAGGTTTAGCTGTCGTGGGCGTTTTGTTCTCTCCCCTAACACACAACGGGGGATGAGTGGCGTGGGGGGGGGGGAGAGGGGTAGTTTCCATGGTGATGGTCGGGTTCCGATCTCCACCCTTAAAACATAAAGAATATTTTATCGTTACATAAACCAGACATTTACACAGCGACGCCACAGAACGTAACTTTTCGTGTAAGACAAGTTTACTTAGGTACAGCTGATCAGATAAACAGCTGTGCTGAAACAGCTGGGTGTATCAAAAGGAATATTTAACCACGGATATTATAACAGAAACGGTGAGGATGATAAACATAAACTAATGATGTCACTGGTTCAAAAGAAAACATGTTCGTATTATTTTTTAGGGTGTCAACCATGGCGGAAGGAAAATTAATAGGTGTGATATTCCCGTCATTTGCTGACGTCACACAGATTGCAAAAGAAATCTGCTGATGTATTGCCATATAAGTATGTATTTGTTTTGATTGATTTTTATTGTTTTTATAATTTTTCTGAATGGTAAAATGGTGTTTGCAATCTGATTAACGTCAGCATATCATGGGAGTAGCCCACCTATGTATTTTCCTTCCACCATGGGTGTCAATAAAACGTCCGAACCAATTTTTAATATTCGTGTATTTAACCAAAAACGCACAGTTTTTCATGTTTACGTTTTAAGTGAATTGTCACGTAATGATTTTGTTAAATGTGGCAATTATAAAGTGACAAATGAAACCACTATTAAACCGCGAGTAGTTTTTATTCAAAGTCAACTGCAAAACAGTTTAGCATACGATTTATTGAAAGTTTTCATAGTTTTAGATGCAATTTCGGTTACACTTTATAAACATTCTAAACGTATTTAATATATTATTGGAGAGGCCAAATACCACCAAGAGTATGGCCTACCCATGGCCATGGCAGTAAGTAAGTACCGTAAGTAAATTTGTTATTCTACTTATTATATAGAAAATAATTTTATTGACAATACCTTTATGAAGATCTTTTGTAATTTTTAGTTTTTTCTTTCACAAGATTATCTATTTTATAACTAGACAACTAGCCAATTATACCAATAGATAAATTAATACTCAATTATGTTTTGGCCAATTACGAAAGGCAAAGAAATAATGAAATGGCCCAAACCACAAAATTTCGCTTATAAATATTTGTACCATGAACTTCTAGTAAACATACATACATTCACTGGTGACACAAGACCAACCTTGAGTAATGCTCAATAATGCCTGAAAGTTTCATTACATTCTGTGGAGTGGTTTCGGGGTCCATAAGGTACACACACATATATATATGCATTGTTCCTCTTTTATAGATATTATATTGTAACGGTTGGTAGGCCTAGGCAACGTGTCAACCAAAATTATCTCAATTAATAGATCTGCATCTTATAAATGTACATAACTCAAGGCTAGTAAATTGTGAAAAAAAGGAATTTTGTACCGATAATACAGCTTAATATTGATTCTAAAATCTTTTTCTTGTTAACCTTTAAGAGCTTACAGTTTGCAATAAAGTTGAAGTATCGGATACAACCTTCTCCACAATCACGTACGGGAAGGTAGCAAAGTTTCCGCTCTAATTTGAGGTAAGTTATAAATCCCCTTGTTGAACTTTGTCGATGACATCTAAGAAGTTTATATGGCTCAAGATGTTTCAATAGTATTATAAAAAAAGACATTCTTTAATCGGATGTAGTACAAGACAAACTATTTGTTCACATAGTTTGAACAATTTTTGTGACTATTTTTTTTTTTAAGGTACCCTATTTGATATGTGTGTTTTTTTTATTACACATTTTTCCTTTTTTCTATTTAGCATATACAGAAATATACAGAAACATTAAAGTTGGTCATCTAATATAAAATGTAATAATTTAAAAAAATTAGTAATGGCTCTATAACTATTTAAACATCTTAAACTAAAGGATTTGTTATAGAATATACTCTTACTGCTAGACGTGTTTTTTTTCAGAGAGATATATAATAAAATCATCCCATACTTTTATAATTTTGTACACAAATTTATAATTTATAAAAATTTTGAAGTATCATTATTGGTCCCAAGCAAAACGTTTACTCCAAAATGACAATAGTTGTGTAAACCTACAATTAAAATATGTCAACGTATAACTGGGTTTAACCTTGCAACGAATTGTGCAAGTACAGCAAAACACAACGGTTTTCTACCTCGTAAACCACATTCTCTTAGTCTTGAAGGTGAAGCTTTGTTTTAAACAAGGAAGCCCCCAACTAGAACCATTCTCATTTCACGGATCCGACTAAGACAGTTCCTGCATACAAATTTCAACAGGAATGGGTTTTCAGTTGGAAAAACTGTGGTCCAGACTTGAATAAAAATCGTCCTTGCTTCCTTTACCTGCTCAGATAAAAATGCTAGGCAATGCGACCAGCTACTGTATATGGTAAAATTGTTTATTTTAATAAAGTATGAAATTGCTGTTCAACTAAGATATTGAATCGAAAAAAAATGTTTAAAATAATTTTACGTTAGTTACGATTGCATTCGTATATTTTCATATGTCGAATATCATTCAAAGTTTTTTAAGTTCTTGAGAAAATTCCAGTTTCATAGTATAGGGAGAGCTTCATATCGCCATAAAAATCAAAATATAATTAATTCACGCATTGAGCTTAATTTTACAAATAAAACTGTCTGTTCAGCTTTGAAGCAATAAATTTAATTCCTGCACAATAAAAACGTATCTATCCCTCATGAATAAAAAGCTTACCAGCAAGAGATAAAAAGGACGAGAAATTTATGTGTTTTGCTGGTGAGATCTGCTTTCCGTAACAATGATTTTATACTTAATGTACATTATCTCAGGGTTAGGATGTTTTATTTTATTTTTTTCCTGTATGTCACAGTTTCCTGTATTAGCAAAAAGTGTGTAATAACTTATTATATTAAGTGAGGAGTGTTTTATGATTTATTGGTTTTGATACTAATGGCTGTCCCAATGTTTTTGATCGTATTGTATTTACTGTGATCTTCTTCTACAAATGCATGAAA